AAATGTCAGTATTCAAACGTATCAAAACATAGCTAAGATATGTATATTAATTAATTATTTTTTTAGTTTTCCCTTTCGGGTAATAACTCACTTCTTTTCCTATTGTCCAAGTTATCAACAAGACTGACATTATATTCCTTACTTAATACATTTTCTACAAGTTCTTATGAGCATATTTTTTTCTGTAAATAAAATAAGTTCATTGCTAGGAAATGGCACATGGGCTAGAATTACATATAGGATTTATGGCGAATAATGAGAACATTGAAGACATTTAATTCAATATGCTCGATGTTTGTTGAATTTCTCCTGGGCAAAGCCCCCATAGAAGAAATATGAAAATGAGTAAGAGTCCCCCACTTCCAAAGTTCTACTGTCTAGAAGAAGAGCCATTTATATGCAAGGAACTGTAGTTTGTAGAGACCAGATATGCTACTGTATGCATACTATTTGAAAAACACGAGGAGAGAAATTGATTCCTCCTAAGACAGGGTTAAAGGTGAGGTGGAATCAAGGTGATAAGGCTGTTGCTTGGGACTTTCAAGGTTGGCGGTGGTCAGTAGAGTTAGCGACAATCCAGAGTTGTGTTGAAGGAACCAGAGGTAATGCTGTGTATGTAGGTCAGGCAGTGGGACTACACAGGCTGTAAGAGGGTGGAGGGCTGGAAGGGTGGGCAGGGCCAGATCCTGAAGGATCTCAAAGTCTCAACTTGGGATCCGGACGTGGCCTTAGCAAACCGGGTAAGGTTTTGAATGGAGGAACAAAATGAGAAAAATAATTCAGATGACAATGAGGAAGATAAGAAGGGACCAGAAGGAAATCAAGAGGTGCCTAAGAATGAAATTGGAGACAGAGAAAAAGGAGATGCTTGTTTGGAGAGGGAGTTTCGGAGAGCTGACACGGATTTAGTTGCAGATGCTCCGCAGACTTTTAGAAATACAGAAAACGGTGCATAGAAGGGACCAGGATGGGGCTCTCACGAATTTCAAAACTCTCCTCAGTTCTAGGGTTTCATATTCTCTGGTGATCACTGACTGAATCACTTTGACTTTTTTCTTATCTGCTGTAACATTATATTGCAAAGCCCATTGCATCATTTCTCCTTTCGTTTTGGGCTGTTGGTGCTTGACTTGTGATTATTAACTCAGAAATGGTTCTATCAGAGGAGGCTCAGTTGCTGCTGTTATCTGGCCTTCCTTGCAGTGGCCTGTGTCAGGGGAATTTGTTTGGAAAGTAAAAAGTGTATCTCTGTTCTTTTGGCAAATAGAGTCAAAACTCTTTCTCTGCTACACTTAACACCCTTTTAACTTCTCGGGTTCTTCTAACCCCTCTGGTTTCTGTTTTCTCTCTCTTGAAAGTGCATGAACCCATGTGATTGTATCCTGGCACCTGGACTAAAAATACAAATACTGCATCGCAGCAACACTCCTAACTATACTGTTGTCTCCCAAACACTGGAGAAAATTGGGGGGGGGGACATCTATGGCACTTGATTTTAATCTCTTTTTTGGGAATGTGTAATTGGTTGATGTAGAAAGCATAAATGAGCTTCTTATAAATAATTTTTTGGCTCTCTTTTTTAAAAAGTTAGGCTAAGCGACACTTGGCACTTTATTGTGCCATAAATTAATGGTACACAACTTAATAAATATTGTAATATTAATTGTATCAAGTAATAGATTAAGGTTTCCATGTGCCTTGGTCCAAGAAAAAAATCTAAACTTGTAAATGACTTGCTGAAAAATTAAGAAGACAAGGTATTTCTCGACATCTTCATGTTTTGCAATTCTTGACACATGAAAGTGCAGTTCTTTTCCTTTATTGCCATTATCGTGTTTTGCAGAAAAATCCATATTAATGCCAGTTATATCCTTCATAATGGTTAATTTTCTAAGACAAAGACTCATAGTAAAGAGAAACCTGGAGTTCTTAAAACAATTAAAAAGCAAAGAAAGCATCCTGAGCTTTGAAATTAATGGAAATTTTTAAAGATACACTTTTTCTTTTGTTCTAAGTCTATATGCTCTGATACTATTTATACTTTTTTTGTTTTTGGTGTTTGTTGTTATATGTCCTGATTATTTCAATATGTATTTTAAAATCTTGAAATGATTCTAGCACTTCTACAGTATACCAGTGTATGTCGAATGGAAATCATTGTTTGAGTCTGCATTTAATTCAAAATATATGTTCACCCTCTTCCTTCATCGGAGTCCTTGATAAGTCTACTTTAAATACACTACGATTTATTTCAATAGAAGTGTTCTTCTCTGAATTGTAGGGCTAAAATATACGTAGCAATTCTCTTTCAGAAAGTGATTACGTGATAATTTAAACAATGTCAGACTGGAACTATACGAAACATGTTTTGTTTATGTGTCGCAAACAGGTACAGGTTTTAAAGGAGATTCATTCTTCTGCACTAGGAATGTTTCAACCATGGAGGAGGCTTGCATGTGGCTGCAGAAGTCAGGATGAAACCAGATTTGCCTCAAGGAGGAGTGAGGAGTTGAGGCAGCCTACTTGTTCCTTAGTAGAGTGTGTGCAAGGAGATGGGCTGTCCAATATATACCACTCACTAGACAACTACATTTGTTTTTAGGTTCAATGGTAAATGGATGGGGCTCTGCATCTGATGAGGATCGTAACTTTTCTAGTCATAGATCTAGCGTAGGTAGCTCCTCCGATGGCTCCATTTTGGCCAGTGGCAGCTTTGCACACGCACTGGTGGAAGCGGCAGATAAAGCTGGTTTTAGGCTGCATGGAACCAGCCTTACAAGAACAGGTTGGTAGACCCTGAGTCCACACTCTTTGCATGAGAGAATCTTGTCCTTTAGACACTGAAATATTTTTCTCCTGTTCTTTCTCCTCAGTGAGTCTGACTGCAGGGCTTTCTGTGATATGCATGACCACCGTTGTGATCCTCAATTACCAGAACTTTCTTCTGATGCTACTTTTTTGCAGAGCCAAGAATAGGCTTCTACTCACCACCTTCTATCTGTTCTTTCCTGTTCCCTTCGTGGCTCTGCTGAGTAATTTGGAAAATGCTTCCTTTTTAAATTACAACCAAGCTGCAACTGAGATTGTCATTAAATTTTCAATAACTCACATGTTGCAAAATTCTCACACAATCGATCATGTGCCCAGTGATTAAACTTATTCAGCTTTTATCACCATTACTTTCCTTTGCCCCATTTCTTTCTGCAAATGCATTTTCTGGGAAGGCTTTCTCAGCATGGGGTGAATGGGTCTAAGGCTGTCAGTCTAACAGTACAAATGGCTGATGGTCTTATTAATTGTTTGGCTGTTAAAATCTTAACCCAATAATTTATTATCTGTTTTAAAGGATGCTAATTAAAGATACACCTACTGCATTTGCAACTTGAATAAAATGATGACTACATGTGATTGCTCTTGCCATAATCTAATTTGGGTTTCTGAGAACAATTGAGTACCAATTATATAATTTTTCATGTATCTGATTCTTTTCCCCAAAAGAAATGTGAGATTCATTCTAATAATAGATGAGTAATTTGTGTTTGTTGTTTGACTGAAACAAAATAACTTTGGCATGATCCATGCTATTACATGACTGTACTTCTTAAATGCACTTTTAAGAGGGTTCTAATATATGAACTAAATGGAGCTACCTTACAAAACAAACTAATGAAGACTTTAACACATTTTTGAAATCTTAATCATATTAAACTAGTAAACTGAAGAAAAATGATTTTGACCCTTCACTAAACTCTCAGGTGATGAAAAGGAGTCTTGGAAATTTTCTTTGAATTATCCTATCAGTATTTCTTTTGAGTATGCATTAGGAATCTTCAAGCATATAAAAAAATTTTTCCAAGCATTGCAGAGGTTTATTTTTCATATAGCATCCGAACTAAAATATGTTGTGATATAACGGTTATTTGAATTGTCTTGCTTTATAAAGCGTAAGTCAGAAACTTTCTGTTGCCTGAGTGCTCTGTGTGGCATAGCTATGAGCACAGCAGTGAGAAAGTGCAAGGAAACTAATAAATTAGAAGGCGTAAGTGCATTTCTTACATGTATGCTAATAGCTAATAAAGCATTAAGCAACAGCGTGTCACATTGACTTAAGAAAATGTAACTACATACAATAATTTTGTGTGAAATGAGAGCATGCGCAAGAGAATAAATACATGCACATAAAACCACCCTCACCTACCATAATAAACATTCTATTAAAATCACAACATGTTGAACATTTATTAGCTACCCTTTTCACAAAATAAATTTCCCTGTGTATGTACTAAAGCTCAAGAAAAGGACATAACACAATTTCATTTTTCAATGAGAATTTGGAGTCTGCTCAGGTACAATAATAGTCATCAGAAAACACCTGATATGCAAGGTGAATTTAACCTGCTACCTATCCTATACTATACGCTAATGTTATTGAGTTTCTGTAGAAGTGGTAAAATTCATCGTGCATTTGTATGAGTTGGTGAGGTCAGTTTAATATATGTCTCTGAGCAGATCTTTCATGTAGATTTGTCAAATGCAATTACTTCAGGACCTTTTTCTGTGCTCAAAGTGAGTTTGTAAGATTCCATGGATAAAATTTGGTTAAGCAAGTAAGACAAGTACATAATTCAGTTCCGAAGTAACTTCTTTAATTTGAAGAAGTAAAAGCAGCATGAATTTGCATATATCCATGAAAATATCACTAAGATCGTCAAGGTTAAATAAAAATATAACCAAGTGATACCAAGTTTTGGGTTGGTGGATTTGTTTAATACCCATTGGCTTGAATTTTTTCAGTGGGCAGTGTGCTGGTTACTAAAAATTGGGTAAAATATATGCGACAAGGCATTTTTTTTTATGGAGATGCACCAGTATTTGATATCTTCAAATGGCATCTCTTGGCAAGTTTACAGGTTAGGCTAAGTAAGAGCAGAAATACAAAACAGGCAGAATCACTGCCTTATGACATTCTCTATACCCCATTCCCTTTGTTTTCTTTTTAGGCAAAGCTTTTACCTCCTCTCAAAGACCTCGGCCTACCAGCCCATTTTCTACTGACAGTAATACCAGTGCAGCCCTGAGTCAAAGTCAGAGGCCTCGGCCCACTAAAAAACACAAGGGAGGGCGAATGGACCAACAACCAGCATTGCCTCATCGAAGGGAAGGAATGACAGATGGTAGGTTTGTTTCCTTCTCTCTTGTCTCCTCACTGAAGAGATGCGCTCTGTGCAAATCATTAACTTAGATTAAAGTAGCTATGGTAGATTAGGCATTGTCTCATTATATAACAAGGCAGAAAACCTAGCAATATGGTCTTGTTCAAATAAAACCCAACCCTCTTTTCCAACAATCTGGAATTATTTCTGTATTACCAAGCCCCAAGAAATGTGTGCCATACCACTTTCCAACGTTGATCTTGCTGCCATTCTGGCATTTTCCATTAATGCTTTTTAATGAACATTCCCCTTTGAGGTTAGGAAAGAAAACGTAGGTAGCACATGCACTTCCCATGCATTTCTGTTTTAAACTTGGGACATTTCTGACATCAGATTGAGAGAACTTAGATGGTATTTCACTTTTGAAAAAAACATAAAGTGATTTGTAATTTAACAGTTTTTTTTAGTTTCATAAATTTCAGGGCTAAAAGCATACTACAGATCATCTGGTAGATGGGTCAACAAACTTTTCTGTAAAAGTCCAGATAGTAAATATTTTTGGCTTTACCTGGCCATACAGTCTCTGTCACAAATACTCAACACTGCCATTGTAGTATGAGTGTAGTTATAGGAAAAAAAAAATGAATTGAGTGTGACTGATTTCCAAAACCTTATTGATAAATAGGCAGTGGCTGAAATTGGCCCATGGACATAGTTTGCTGATCTATTTCAATTCTTTTATTTATGTATAGCATTCAGTCTTTGAGTATTTGCTGGTTGCAGGAAGCACAATATTACTGGAGATGTCCTTGTTCAATAAAGAGTAGTTCATCTCTATAAAGCAGGGAAGCCTGCTTCTCCCTCTTCCACTCCGCCTGCTTATGTTCCCTCTCTCACTGTCTCTCTCTCTCTCTCTGTCAAAAAAAAAAAAAAAAAAAAAAAACAGGATCTATTTCCCATATGTTCAACTTAATTCTCAGACATTTAAAAATAGGAATACAAATATTTATCCTGACGTTTTATTCTAAGGAATATTTAAGATGATTGATGTCAATAGCCTAGTATAATGCCCGACCCAAAGGTGAATTTCTTCCCCCTTCTCAGCACTATCCTCTACAGGCACACAGACTTTATCCTGAGGTAGTTCTACTAAACACCAAAAGGATGAACTTAGCCAAGCCGCACATTAGAACCATCTAGGGAGCTCTTAAATTATACCCTGGGGATTGTGATTTAATTGTTCTGGGTGAAAACCTATTGTGGGTATTTTTAAAGCTCCATGAATGAATCTAATGTGCAGTCAGCATTGAGAAGCTATGACGGAGTCCGTAGCATTCATTTCAGTCTCTTAGACTTACCATTATAGGACAGAATGAGGCTTAGTTGGGGAAGTACTTACTCTTTATTGGTTTGGGGGGAAGGGTCTGTATTTGGCTGCCATCTTTGTGCTTTCTTTTGTCATTTTGTAATTCAGGGCCAACTTTAAAAGTCAACCATAACTTGTTCTAAAAGCTTTCAGGTTTTTTTATCTTTCCCGTTACCTTGTTTTCATTGGGAAGTGTTTCTGTGGAATTTGAGGGTAAGGGTGCACTCAAGATTTTGATTCCTTTATAAACGAATATCCTGTGGTGAACAAAAATGCTCACCACTGCCTTTCTGCCTCAGATGATCTGAAGATTAGTTGAGCCCTTAAAACAGTCAATAGTGTTGATCTTATTCCCTCTAGATAAAAAGGACCACCCCAATTGATATGGTAGTCATAAAACTCAGAATTAATAATTTTGTATAGTTTTCCTGCTATCAATGTTGTGGAAAGAGAAAAAAAATTTTTCTGAAATGTTTGAAGATTATTTCCAAAATATGTAGAAGATAAAAAATATAAACCAACAAAATGGAGAGTGCTCCTTTTCTTCCTAAAATACTTTTCTTGCAAGTTTTTTTCAGAATGTCTGGTTAAAGCAAACTGCCTCCTAGTTTAAAGCATGATCAATTTATTGCTTATCTTTCTAAACAACAAACAGGTCCCTAACTCTTAAAGGTGCCAGCATTTCAAAAGGGGGTTATGGATTATGTGTTGTTAGTAGATATATTTTGGAAGTAGTGATATTGCAAGCGAAATTTTGGCTCCCATGTCTTCCCAAGTTTATGATTCAACAACGTTCTAATTATGACATGAGGACATTTATTACGGATGGCACTCTATAGATTATCCTTAAGGATGTTGTTATTTTATAGTAAATGTATGTGCCATAGATTTATATGGTATGAATCCATGCATCAGTATTAATTTTATAATATTTGTATGTAAAATCAAACTATTCTTTTAGGGAAGGCTGCTGTTTAGTAGCATTTAGTGTATAGACGTTTTTACACTAAAACTTTTGCTTTATACATTTTAGAATTATATTTGGTGAGTAAATTAATCAGGCTAATTACTGGCAGCTGCTATACCAAACAGGCACTTAGTACAGCAAGTTTGTTTCTCCAACACAGTAATTTATAAAGGTCAGGTGGCTCTCCTCTAAGTAGTAATGTAAGGATGTATGCTTCTCCACTATTGGGATACCATTATTTTTAAAGTGAGACATTTATGGCTTCTGAGTGAGGGGAAGACAAAATCTGGGTGATCACTTGGAAGGTTCTATGGTCAGTCCTGCAAGTGGCACATGGCACATGTCACTTCTCATTTCCCTGACAAGAGCACTGGCACATGTCATCAGACTACTGAATGGAGTGGGAAAATAATATTTTCTTGTGTCTAGTAAGAGGAACTGGGAACGGTGAAAAGCATCAGTCTCTGTCTCAAAGGCAAGGCAAACCCCAACACAAACATCGAGGATTCTTCTCCCTTGAATAAAGACTCTTCTAAGCAGGCATTGCTCAATCGAAATCTTGTGTTCCATTTGCATAAGCTAAAGAATACCCTTTAAAACCAATATATTGACAAATGCTGAAGAAAGAAGGCAGAGAAAGTAGTTTTCTGTCCATCAATCTTTTTTCCTGAGATCATTTCCTTCCAGTCTGTTCTCCCCTCATTCCTAATGTCCTGGTTAGAGAAGGGACTCTTTCCTCTGCCACAAACTAGCTTGGCCACGAACTAGCTCTGCTGCAAACTAGCCTGTACCATTAAGCAAATTTCTTTATTCATTAATCTATGCAATTCCACGCCAAATGATAGGCTGGAAACCAACAGGCAAAATTCCCTGCCTTTCTGGAGCTTACATTCTATTGAGGGAAGATAAAGAACAACATAATTATATAAGGGAAAACAAAAGTATATAAGACGGTGGTAAGAGTCATGGAGAAAAAAAACATAGGAAGTCGAGAAATAACGGGGGTGAAGGGGGGAGGTCTTTTTTAAATAAAGTCTCAGGGAAGGCTTGACCAAGTAGATGACAGTAGAGAAGGCTGTAAGATTAAAAGGAAAAGAGCAATGCTGATATCAAGGAAAGGTCATTCCAGGACACGAGGACAGCAAGTGGAAGCCTGAAGCTTATTTGCTGAAAAGTAAGAGAAGCAGTGTAACTGAAGCAGAGAGAGCAACAAAATAGAATATGAAGTTAGACAAGTCAGTGAGGGCCAGTGTTTGTAGGATCTTAAGCTTCTGTAAGGACATTGGCTCTTACTTTGAATGGGAAACCATCGAAGGGGTGTGTGTGTGTGTGTGTGTGTGTGTGTGTGTGTGTGTGTGTAAGGCAAAGGGTAACATTATCTTACTTCTGCTTCTATTTTAAAAAAAACCACTCCAGCTGTTATGTTAAGGTAGACAAATGTGCTTCTGTGTGGAAGCACAGAGACCACATAAGAGGTTGTAGAAGTCACAGAGGGAAGAGACGTTAGAGGTTTTTCTCCATGACTCTTAACCACTGTCCCGAGGTTAAATCAGTGGAAGCAATGAGAAAGATTGAATTCTGGCTAGAGCTTGGCAGAGCCCACAAGATTTGTTCATGAAATTAACACAGGCTGTAAGGCAAGGAAGTCAAAGATTACTCCAAAGTCTTGGTCACTTGTAGAATGCAGTTGCTACTAATTGAGATGATGAACACTAAAGAAGAAGCATATCTTGTAGAGGAAGGTCCAGAACTCAGTTTTGATATGTGAAATTTTAGATGCTTCCTAAACATCTAAGGTGAACTCCTCAGTATGGAAGTAGTCATGTGAGTCTGGAGCTCACAGAAGGGGAGATCCCAGCTGTAGATATTTGATTTCTTTTTGCCTTTTTTTAACCTGAAAAAGAGGATGATAATAATGGCACATATTTCATTGGACTGTTATGTGCCTGACAATAAGAAATCCTCAGGAGGCCAGTAAGAGACTCTTTAGTGAATTGATTTAGTAGAAATGAATCAACATGGAAATGAATAATAAATTTAAGTAAACATATTTGATTACATACTTTTATTTTTGCCACAGTCATTCTTAATCCATCTTTTTCCCAATTTGTTTATTTCAGTGTGCATGCCATGTTCTTTCTTCTTAGAATATACAAACTCCAAGTATATTACTTAATTATGTAGTCATATAATTTCAGGTTAAATTAAATAGTAATCAGAATTTTGTCTAGCATAAGCAGATGCCATTTTGGCTATTTTAAAAATGAAGCTGCTTTGATGGGAATAAAAATCAATGACCAGATATGTTATTTTGAAAGCAAGTATAATAATTCCTGCTCCTCCCCACAATTGGCAGTCTTAAATCCAAACACGCAAATGAAATAATTACTTCACATTTATAATAATACATACTAAAGGAAGTCAGTATTGAATAAAAGGAAACACTAAACTCATTGGTGGATTATTCTACAAACAGATATCACAATATTGGATTAGCTCTTCATTTTGGAAGAAATGTTCCAAATGCAACTTTATTCTCCCAGATGGAAATGCTGTTCCCTTCAATAATTAGTAATTCATAATCTAACAAGAGGACATACATAAGAACTAGGAATTCTGCTTCAGCATGGGAATTCCCAAAGCAGATGCAGAGGAGAGTATTATTGTCAATTCAATGGAGGACGGTATCATTTTTCTCATTAAGAGAGAGTATAAAGCTTCTTAACAAAGTCTTTAAAAAGAACAACTTAGCCTTCCTTAAGGAAGCTGTCTTTTGTTCACAAGAAATTTGTGCTTTTTCCTTTTAAATTTCACAAATAGTATTATTAGAAATGAGAGTACAAATACAACGATATCGGAAATAATGGACTAACATTACATGCAACAGCCCCTATTAATAATATAAGTATGTAGTGCATATGATATTTGATTTTATGCACAAATAATGTAATCACTGATATTCTAAGGATGAGCAGAGAAGTTCACAATAGTATGCCAGAAAAATTAGAAGGTAGTATTGTTTAGAATGTTCAGGAGATTTCAAAATCTTCAACAAAATAATTTTAGAACTAGTATAATGGTATAAATCACATAATAGGACTAGTACACTACTTAAAGAAAGATGAAAGAAGAGATTAAGATCACAGTTGAAGACAATCAAAATATAAAGGTGTCATGATCCAAACAGCTAATGAAAGGAAAATGAAAAATTAGCCGCATGTTCGAACTTTTGATTTTTTCATACCTTATATTTAATTTAAAGAGCTTTTTTGCAAAGTTATCTATTCTACTACATCTCAAATTTTTATGATGCCTTGTCTATTCTAGCACCATGAATCATATTCTATCTGTACTCTGAACATTGGTTATTACTTATTAAAATTAATACACTGGAAAGTTATAATGTATTAGTTGTAACTCATTAGCTAACTCATGAAACGAACAGCCAGAATTGGTTGTCAGGCAGAATGTTAATTGCATTTAATAAATGTTAGCTTAACCCTTTGACTGTTGCTAAATGTACCACATACATGGGTAAAGGCAGTCATATGTTGCATATAATATGGCATATAGTTCTTAATTTCCCAAGGGCAACATTTCCGATGGAGATTGGCAGGACAACCTTTATTCTTCCCGAGGCCTTTTATTAACACAGCTGCTAAAGTGTCTAGTCATTTTGTGTCACGATATGTCTACTTTGAGGAGGTGGGGGTGGACAATGGCGAAAATATGGAGAACACATAAATTGCCTTTTATACCTTGAACGTTAGCCTCAATGTGCAATTGAAAACACTGTCCGCATATAATAGTTGAAATCAGTTGATTTTGTTTCAAAGACACTGTGATCCGGAGATAGCAAAGAGATCAATAATAGGCATTTTAGATAGAAATAACTGACCTTTGCCCCCCGCCTCCTTCCCCCAAATTTGTTTTGCATGAGTGAAACTTTTAAGATGGCACGGGTTTTTTTCTTCATCTTGAATTAAAACCTGTATTTTTTCATTAAGTTTTAGTCCATTCTAAATATTATTCACAATTTTTAGATCTTCCACCACCACCAGATCCCCCTCCAGGTCAGGGTTTAAGGCAGCAAATAGGCCCGAGCCAGCATGCTGGTAACGTGGAAAACTCAACAGAGAGAAAAGGAAGCTCTCTGGAGACACCACCAGCATCCAACTTAGAAGACACAAAGAGCTCATTGGATTGTCCAGCTAGAACGTCCCTAGAGTGGCAGCGACAAACCCAAGAATGGATAAACTCCACAGAACGCCAAGAAGATATACGGAAAGCCCTACACAAACAAAGTGTTGGACCAGGTGTGTTCTGCACAGTCCCAGGAAAGTGTGGACTTTTACCTTTTGTTTTCCTACCAGGTATTTTAGAAATGGCAGTTGTTTAAGAGCATCTGAAAAAAGTTTGCCTTGAGTCACTGAAAAGTTGGGATTCCTCAGCAGAATTTACCAACACACACTTTAAGGCTGATTCCCGTGGGGATTGTTCCTCAAGTTAACCTCTGCATAGGGGTATTTCAGCTCAAGAGACCTCCAAGCTTCACCTGTATTGTTCAGGAGACAATTTGATTTTTTGCCTTTTAATGTTTATATCAAAATACGTTTAAGACCTCTAAATTTCATCTTAATGTCAATTTAATCCCTGCCTTCAATCAGTTTCATTTTGACTGAAGTTACTATAGTCATTTTGAAAGGAGAACTCTCTTCAGTCAAATCACTGAATTCATTGAAATAACAAAGTTGTTTATAAATGCACACAAATACCTCAGGATAGAAAAGGTTAAAAACTGGGCCTGTACTTTCTCCAGCTGATTAAATTTAGTTGATTGTTAACACTTCATTGGGAAATAGTCTTGTTTATAAATCAAGCTTCCTGGAACTATCCCAAAATAAATGTCATCATTTGTGGTTGGATTTTTTTTTTTTTTTTTTTTTTTGGAAGTGGTAGTGGCTGTTGGGACCTATTATAGAAATACATTTTCTGGAACATATCTTCTCATATCGGGATTCACTTTCATTGAGTATTAAAACACACACAAACACACACACAACAACATTTGAGAGTTTCTTTACACATTTATTTTTTAATTTGGACTCAATCTTTTGTAGATATGTCCATTACCCATGCATTTTCAAAAATTATATGATGTCACAACTTGGTGCTTAAGGTTTTAGAAAATGTAATATATACAAGAGCCAAAATATGTCAATTTTAATACCTAGACTTAGTGAAACATTTAGGAAGCTTACATCATTCAGGCTGTGAGAGAAAAAGTATGTGATCCTTGAGACTTCATAAAGACCATCTAAGGAGAGAAAACAGTCATCACAGTAATAATAATGGCCATACCTAAAAGAAAGAAAAAAAACAGAAGAGGTAGAGAGGGAAAAAGAAGAAGAAAGAAGGAAAGAAAGAAAGAAAAAAATGTTTCAAAATATTAGGTACTTAATAATACACATCGTGTTATTTGTAGAGAGTTGATACATAAAATATGTTTTCATTTATTATTATTTATTTATGAAAATGTGTATTTCTCTTTTTCTTTTAAGGAAATACACAATCTTTAAAATAATGTGTTTCTATCCCCAGAAACAACAAAAGTTTAGGAAACTTATTTCAACTAATACATAGTTCTTTATCTAAATTGACTGAGAAAATGTTGCTATAAAGTGAAACAAAAACCATGTTTCTTCAATCTTAATTGAAAAATTTAATTGGAACCACACTGAACGCCAAAAATTATACTCAGAAATGCTTTTGTTAAACAATATGGTTCATTGTATGCAACTCCCTTTTATTAATATATTTAAATTTTGCAAATGATATATAACATTGTATTTGTATCCCCAAATTTATTTTTTTTAAGATTTTATTTACTTATTTGAGAGAGAGAGAGAGTGAACAAGGGGGAGGAGCAGAGGGAGAGGGAGAAGCAGACTACCTGCTGAGAGGGGAGCCCAACACAGGGCTCCATCCCAGGACCCAATCCCAGGACCCCGGGATCATGACCTGAGCTAAAGGCAGACACTTAACCGACTGAGCCATCCAGGGCCCCTATCCCCAAATTTCTTTTAATTTAATCCTGTTTTAGATCCTATTATCAGAAATGTTATCTGCACATGGAAATTTTTTTAATATCCGGGCTTATTAAACCTCTTATTTTTAATTTTACTAAGGAGTGAAATGGGGACACCTGGGTGGCTCAGTTGTTGAGCGTCTGCCTTCAGCTCAGGTCATGATCCCAGGGTCCTGGGATCCAGGCCTGCATCTGGCTCCCTGCTCCGCGGGAAGCCTGCTTCTCCCTCTCCTACTCCCCGCCTGCTTGTGTTCCTTCTCTCGCTGTGTCTCTCTCTGTCAAATAAATAAATAAAAGGTCTTTATTAAAAAAAAAAGAGTAAAAAGGTAAAATAGCCCATCGTGAACTTAATATTAAAAGTTTGTTTTGCCTCCATGTTGCTCTTCAGCTTAGCACTTTGTGTTTCTTTTTCAGAGGAGACATTGGTGCCCTACAGCAAGCCCAGTTTCCCATCTCCAGGAGGTCACAGCTCATCAGGAACAGCTTCTTCTAAAGGATCCACTGGACCAAGGAAAGCCGAGGCATTGAGGGGAAGTCACCAGCGCAATGCCAGTGACCTTCTTGACATAGGATATATGGGCTCAAATAGTCAAGGACAGTTTACAGGTGAATTATGTAAGTGCTTTAGGACACTTAAAAGGCTCTGGTGATTGAGAACAAAGAGTGGGTTAATAATGTAGGGGAGGAAAAAGTTTCCTTGACCCTCTTAGGGTCCTAGGCTGGGTCTGAAAGTTAAACTGATAAAGACAGATTAACAGGAGAAAAGCCTACAAATTTTATTGAATTTTTACATGTCCATGGGTGACTTCAGAAGAGCATGAAGACCCAAAGAAGTGACCAGAGTAGAAAGCTTTTATATCTTTTAGACAAAGAAACCATAAGCTTGTGAAGATTTTATGAGACCGAGGGGTTTGGGTAGGGGAGTAGTCAATGGTAAAGAAGTAACTAAGAAGAGAAGGGTTAGTTTAACAAGGTTTGTTTGCACAGATTTCTCGGTCCCATAACTCTCTGTCCCTGGGAATAAGAATGTCTTCCTTCCTCTGGTAGAGGGAGGGTAACTTTCACGTGGAAGTTTTATGACCCATTTCAGAAAAGAAGAGCCAGTGGGGAGGAGGGAGGTCAGAGTGACTTTCCTGCCTCCGTTGGTTTCTCAGACTTCTTCCGCTTTCGATATTCAGTATGCCAAGGTGTCATATTTTGGGGTAGCATGTCCTGAACCTCATCAATAATATTGGGACAATAAACAACTTTCAGAATAGTAGAAATCCTGCTTTGCTATGAGAAAAAAATTGATTATGATTTTGAGCAGGTTCAGTCATAATGTAGACCACTGCTATTTACAGTCATCTATTAAATGAATATTTCTGCTATTTCAAGTCTGATTTACACTATACAAAAATTGCCTATATTTAGGCAATTAATCTTAATATTTATAAGTTAATTAAACATAGTCCACTTTGTAGTTTTCTTTGCCTTTTAAAGAACCTCAGGAATTCCTCATTCCCTAAGTTGCTCTACATTTATTTATTTATTTTTTAAATTTAGGCAGTTGACCTTGTAAAGTTGATCTTTGATTATAATAACATATTTTATAAATAAATTTCTTTTTGAATAAATAGCCAGCATTGATAGTATAACTAATCTATAAAAATAAAATACCAGGCAACAGAGAAAGATAGCATGTCACAGTATGTCACAGGAAGAAGCACTGAATTCTTTGTGTTAATTTTTTTCATGAAATTTACCAATTCTGCTATCCAATATCAGAATTATACTTGTCAAATATTTTCAGCTGCTTGTTTGGATTCATGTTAAAAGCACTGCTGAAGGAGCAGCCCTGGGTTCCAGTCTTCTCAACCCAGAGCAAGCAAACTACCTTCCCAATCTCTGTACCTCTTGACCCAAAACATGGCATTACTATTACTATTACGCTGACATCACAGACTGGGGGATTCCACGAAATAATGAAAAGTAAAAGTACTTTCAAACTGTAAAGTTCTTTATTGACTAGACTTATCATTCTTGTTGTCTATTACTGATCTGATTATTAAGATATGTTTATAATTTTTAATTTGATTCATGACTACTTGGGTTTTGCTTTGACTTTTATTGTAGAGTAACTATAAACTCACAGGAGATGTGCAGAGATAACAGGAGACATGCAGAGATAGCTCTATGTGGATTTTAAATCCCCAGATTTTGCAATGTTTCTTTCTTCCTCTCCCATCACCATATTTCCCAACTTTACACACTCACAAAATGTGTCTGATGATGTTCTATTCATATATTACCTATTCGCCTTGCTTTTTGTTGTGCTGGTCAGATGAAAGACTACTTAATTTCAATGCAAACTTATTTCTGATTTTTTCATCTCTTTGTAGAGTAACTGAGAGGAGACATGCAAAGCTGCTCTGAAGGACCACCAGGTCTGAACTCATGGAAGTGATGACACGAAACAGTGCAATGAACAATTTCTTTATTTATGTACAATTAAAAGAACTGTAAATGCAATGTAAAGACACACAGCCACACATATCCCACAGATATTTTACTTGTGTTCTTCTCTTAAGTACACCACCCACCTTAACTCTTTCTTGTCAGGAGTATATAAAAAAGACAGAAAAGAAAACCCGCCCTCCAGGAAGAAAAGGATTTTCCTCTGTATATAATTTCTTTTGTGCATTGCTATGCAAGCTCACTCTTTTTAGATCTGTTCATACTATTGTCTGTTTTCATTGGTCTGTTGTACTATATGTGAATTAATAGGCTGTGGTGCCATATATTAACTTTTAATTGTGTAACTTTTATGTTTAAATTTTGCACTGCAATTTTTTTTGGTGATAAGCACAAATCTCTACTCCTCGTGACATGAAGAACAAGACTGAATGTGAAGGGAGTTTCCGTACTGTAAGCTAGGCTGGATGTGCTGGTTGGAACCAATCACTTTAGATGGTTTGCAGTTGGGGTGTAGGAATAGGAAGATGCAAAGGAACAGTGGTGTTGGCAAAGTCTTCTTTGAATATCAGGGACTGAGTCAATAAAAAGAAAAGCAGAAAGGTGTCTTTTGCTATTGACAAAAAGCAGGGGTCAAAGAAAGAAATTTAAGTCTTAAGGCTAAATAGGCATTACAATATACAGGTAGCAAAGATGTACTAAGCTTGCTAAAAAAAAAAGAAAAGGAAAGAAATTAAGGTTATATGTAGAATTAACTGAACCTGTCATTGTAATTGACCCATCTGAGAATTATAACAAGCAAAAGGAAATTAAGGTGTTTCACAAGAGCTGTGTTTATATTACAGTTTTTATAAAAGCATTTTCTGAATTACCATAATTAATCTCTCCAACTCATTAAGTCAGAATATAATATGACGTTCCCCAAGGAAACAAACAAAATGAACTCTAGAATATCTAGCAAATAGTTAAAGAGGCAATTTATTATTAGGACATACTCGGGCTGCTTCCAAACACAAAAACTCTATTGCAATATCTCGTTTCATCTTTCTAATACATGTACAGTACACACGAGAGGATAGAGCTGCATCACTTAAATTTATGACTTTGAAAAAATAATGCAGTCTGTAGACAACTTTGTGTTTTATTTGGTTAAGAAGTGAAGTTTATGCCACAAATGTATAGCCAAATTGTAAGTGCTTACAAAGCAGTGCTCAGAGTATGTTCAGTTCACAGTAAGTAGATTTATTGGAATAAACATTTTATGGTACATTCTCAGAAATTGGCTACCAACTAAAATATGTTTGACCCATTTTGAATGAGTAAGTTGAAAAGAAAAATTTAAAAGGAGAAAAATGCATGTTTATACACTTTTTAAATAAAACCAAACCTCATTAAGTGGACATTAATAACAGTGTCCTGCCTCATTTGTTTCCACGACTTTGAGAACAAGAAATTCCTGAACATCAGTCATGTATGGTCAAAATGAATCCGATTTTGAAATATATGTCAGCCACTGTATGCGTAGAGTCGATCAGTCAGGTAGAAGAGACCTTCCCTGAAATTCCCACTTGTGACATTTTTTCTATGTGCTGCCTCCACAACTGTAAATTCTATTTCTAGTTATACTTTCTCATGTTTTTCCTATGATGTGTTCAGTAGTTGGTATTTTGAAAAATGTTCGATGTAATGATTAGAATCAATTCTAAAATATGGGACCTGCTTGAATGACAATTCATACTCCCATGCATGATTGCCTCGGTCACCAATTCCGTATCATATTGTTATAGCAAAGGGATAACATAATTCATTTTTTCTATACTTTTTGTTCCCTAAGACTGCATCAACACAGGCAAGAGTGGAGGAACGTAACGTTCTTTATGGGCCCCAACATCTTCTTGGTGCCCTGTAGCTCATTTCTTCACCGAAGAGAAAAAAATATTCTGAGACACACTTATTAAATGCTTTATCAACTTTCTGCCACCAGTGCCTGAATTTTAATGCAGTTTGCTTTCTCTGGGTCAGGTTGTCTAGGAAAGATGAGAAGTTCCTGCGAAGAATGACTACATACTATTCGCAACTGTAGGACGTGAGGAATTTAATTTTTATTTATGCGGTTCTCTACTTCACCTCTTTCTATTTAAAAACAAACAAAGTTTTGTTCATTTGTGTTCCCTCTTTATGCTTCTCTGTAACCCACTTTAGAGTAAAGCTTTAATTCATTACATTTATTACACGTAGATGTTGATCCCTAATGTGACAAATAAACCAAGACTTCAGTGTAGAGTATGGGTATGAAAGTGACTTCTGGAATAACGCAGGACATAGCAGCATCATACCTTCCTGATTATTTTCAGTGTATAAAACGTAACCATTTTGGTTAGGTTTTGGCAGTACAGACCCTATGGTTACTTGGAATGTTCTTTTAGAACATTCCCTTAACATTCCCTGTTAAGTCTAGTTTTATATGTAAATTGGTTAGTAAAATCCTGCACCCAAGATATCATCCTCACACAGATACAGAGCAAGACAAAATGCTGTGGCTACCCAAATGAATTCAGGAATCTTACCCAAAAATCAAAAGCTTTTGTCAACTTACTATATGTAAAAAGCTTCTAATCAGTATATCAGAATGTCATTAGAAGAATGCAAACATGTATAAGACCTTCCGGAATTTTTTTCATTTTGTAGCCCATTGAATGAGTGTGATTAGAAATTCACTGAGCTCACTCTTCTTCAGGTCTACACAAGGCCTGCATAACTTGTCAGAAGGAAATCTGGTTGGGAGAGAATGCAAACTCACCTCGCACTCACAGGCCATGCTGCTGTGCAGTCAAGCCCCAAACAACACAGCTCCATTCTCAACATGCCACGTCTCCACTGGGGAAAAGCCAGTCAGCGCCCCAACTCAGGTATGCCTCCAAGCGTGCAGGCAGAGTCGGCCCACCCCTTTCCAGATCTTTTCCATGCCATATTTAAAGTGGGACAGTACAGGGGCTTGAAAACAACGGATTCCTTCACAGGATTTGAATCCAGCTCAGGGGAGCATATAGGAAAATCAAGACGAACACCTAAGGTGTCCTATAACCAAAGGGAAGTAAAAACATTGCAAGTATGCTTGTTCTAAGTAACAAAACAGATAAAATGGTGTTCTATGTCATAGTTGAATGCTCTGGGTATTTAAAAATATCTTCAATAGGATTCAAGTTGAAAGTTTGAGCTCTGATAGAACACCTCCAAATTTCTATTCAACAAATTTATGGACCTGTCCATCGACAACATAATGATACGAATACCAATGAGCTCTAAACTATGGTTTATCTTCGCCACTGGAAAGTGATTGTGTGTCAGTATTAAAGATATGAAGAACCATGACATTCACTAATTTGTACATCTGCTTCTGTACATTGTGTTTATAAAGTTACATGACGAGAATTGGTGTAAAGCAATGTTTTCCCACATCATCTTAGAGGTGAAGTTACTTTTATTTTGCTTCTCTATCATGTGTACTTCAGATGAAACCCCATACCTTTTTTCAGTGAAGTTCCATTTATCTCATCATTTTCTTATCATTTTCAAAAGCATTTATTGTGACTTTAAAATGTTGCAAGATAAGGGATTTTGTGGCCGTGGGTAGACTTTTTATACTTTGTTTTATAGATGGACTTTTTTTTAACTAGTCTGTTTAAGTCACCAAACAGCGTCCAAAATCTTAATGTGTTTCATTTGATGTTGTTAGCTCAGAAAAGAAATTGGCATAAAATTGGTTAATAGTATTGTCAAAGAATTGTGTATTGTGTACTCACTGGGAAAAAATAAAATATATTCACATTTCAAATTTGTAAAAAAGCCATTTATGTAAAACAGACTTGCCTGTAGAAAAATCAAACACAGACCATTCTGTCACTTCTGCACCTCGACATTAGTATTTTGTGACCAAATGCATAATCTGATTTTCTCCTTTGGTAATGGGGTGGGTGGTGGTAACTAGAAAGTGACGTTGACTTATATTAGTGACTCTATTGATGACACTGATGAATATAAAAAGCATTTGAAATTAGAGATTCTACCCTCTAAGCCCTACTCTCCAGATCTGATCTTCCCCACCCCATAAAGACCTTTAGGTAGAGAGAATACAAACTTCTCATCTACAAAATTACCTTCAAAAATCATTCTTTAAATATAAATAAATATGAGAATGGGAAAAAGTGGGTATTTCTTAATTGATAAGAATTATAAAATTAATTGATAAAAATGATAACCTTTTTCTAAGAGGATGGATGTTGAAAAGTTATATTAGGGACTGGGTAGAAAAGAGAAATTCCTTACTTTATTGTACTTCATGAATATTTCATTCTTTTTCACTAAGTACAATTACAGGATCAAATTATTTCTAAAAATAAAAAAAGCTCCTGTATTCTTTACGATAATATAGTATAGTAAAAATGAAATAAAACTACTGAACTCTAAAACAATTTATTCAAAAATATTTTTAAAGCACATGGTAAGTGGATAATACACTTCAGAGTTTCATTTAATTTAGATTAACAATAGGGAAATAAAACAGTATTAGAGGAATTAGAAATAATGTTGCATTAATATAATACAATGGCATAATACGTGTGATTAAAGACAAATATATCAGTTACCAATATGATATATAGTAGAGGAACTACGAAACACTCATTGCTTTATCGAATCTGGGTGCAATATGGAAACACCTACAAATGGCAAAAGGGCAAAATTACCAGAAAGATTTATTAAAATAATACACTGTTCTCTCTTGATTATTACATATTAGCTAAATAAAAGATATACCAGTGGTTCAGGAAAGCATTTTAACAAGAAATGATATTTAATGTCCTCAATTCGTGAAATTGTCTTTTTTATCTTCCAAAGAGAAGATCGGCCAAGGTCATGTGAAATTTCACTTCATAACAGAGATGTGAAATAAAACTGCACTAACTGAAAAGCCAGTTGCAAGAATTCACAAGAAAAGACGCGTAGAAAGGCCTAGTAAGGCGGGAAGCTTAACATGCTGTCTCCAAAAGGTTTCAAGGGCTCTTTCATCTCCATGAATTTAGTGCAGTCTTGGTTTCAACTCTCAGCCTCAGGAGGAGTTTTCTCCACAGCCAGAGAAGGAATTCAGTCTTCGAGAGGGTTACAAAGCCGTCAAGAATCCAAAAGACGATGCAAGACAATTGTAAGTCTGTGTGTGACCCGCGTTTGTATCTTTCCGCCCACATGCTTTCTCCAGGAAGCAGTCAAGCTACTAGAAATACACATAATCAGTTACCTTGGCAATTAATCAGGGAAAGGCACTTGTGGTTTGTGATTCAAATACAGT